TGACAAGGTCCCTCACCAAAAGCTCTTAAGCAAAGTAAGCTGTCATGGGATAAGAGGGAAGGTCCTCTGATGGATGAGTAACTGGTTAAAAGATAGGAAACAAAAGCTAGGAATAGTCAGTTTTCAGAATGGGGAGAGGTAAATAGTGGTGTCCCGCAGGGTCTGTACTGGGCCCAGTCCTATTTAACATATTCATAAACTATCTTGAAAAAGGGGTAAACAGTGAGGTGGCAAAATTTGCAGATGATCCAAAACTACTCAAGACAGTTAAGTCCCAGGCAGGCTGCAAAGAGCTAGAAAAGGATCTCACAGAACTGGGTGACTGGGCAATAAAATGGATGATGAAATTCAGTGCTGATAAATACAAAGTAACGTACATTGGAAAACATAATCCCAACTATACATATAAAAAGATAGGGTCTAAATTAGATATTACCTCTCAAAAAGAGATCTTGGAGTCATTGGGGATAGTTTTTGAAAACATCCATTCACTGTGCCACGGTAGTCAAAAAAGCAAACAATGTTGGGAATCACTAAGAAAGAGAGAGATAATAAGACAGTGTATTGCCTCTATATAAATCCATGGTATGCCCATATCTTGAATACTGCGTGTGGATGTGGTCGCTCCATCTCAAAAAAGATGTATTGGAATTGGGAAAGGTTCAGAAAAGGGCAACAAAAATGATTAGGGGTATAGAACGGCTGCCATGTGAGGATTGATTCATAAGACTGGGACTTCTCAGCTTGGAAAAGAGATGACTAAGGGGGGATATGATAGAGGTCTATAAAATCATGACTGGTGTGGAGAAAGTAAATAAGAAAAAGAGAAGGACACTAAACTATCTAAACTACTACATACCACAAGGGGCCACAACAGCGGTTCCCTTAACCTACCCAGCAATATTGTTAATCTATCCAACTATACCCTTAGGACAGATTCTTCTGCTGGGCTATCTCGGTGCCTCTCCTTCTGCCCCTCCACCCCCACGAACATGTTACAGTTCTGTGGTGACCTAGAATCCTATTTTTGACGTCTCCGACTCAAGGAATATTTCCAATACACCTCTGAACAATATACTAACCCACAGAGACCTTCCTACCAACACTACAAAAAGAAGGATTCTGGGTGGACTCCTCCTGAAGGTTGAAACAACAGACTGGACTTCTACACAGAGTGCTTCTGCCAACGTGCATGGGCTGAAATTGTGGAAAAACAGCATCACTTGCCCCATAACCTCAACCGTGCAGAATACAATGCCATCCACAGCCTCAGAAACAACTCTGACATCATAATCAAAAAGGCTGACAAATGAGGTGCTGTCGTCATCATGAATAGGTCGGAATATGAACAAGAAGCTGCTAGGCAGCTCTCCAACACCACTTTCTACAAGCCATTACCCTCTGATCCTACTGAGGGTTACCAAAAGAAACTACAGCATTTGCTTAAGAAACTCCCTGAAAAAGCACAAGAACAAATCTGCACAGACAAACCCTTGGAACCCCGACCTGGGGTATTCTATCTGCTACCCAAGATCCATAAACCTGGAAATCCTGGACGCCCCATCATCTCAGGCATTGGCACCCTGACAGCAGGGTTGTCTGGCTATGTAGACTCCCTCCTCAGGCCCTATGCTACTGGCACTCCCAGCTATCTTCAAGACACCACTGACTTCCTGAGGAAACTACAATCCATCGGTGATCTTCCTGAAAATACCATCCTAGCCACTGTAGATGTAGAAGCCCTCTACACCAACATTCCACACAAAGATGGACTACAAGCCATCAGGAACATTATCCCCGATAATGTCACGGCAAACCTGGTGGCTGAACTTTGTGACTTTGTCCTCACCCATAACTATTTCACATCTGCTATAGGTACCCGCATGGCCCCACAGTATGCCAACATTTTTATGGCTGACTTAGAACAATGCTTCCTCAGCTCTCGTTCCCTAATGCCCCTACTCTACTTGCACTACATTGATGACATCTTCATCATCTGGACCCATGGAAAAGAAGCCCTTGAGGAATTCCTTCAACATTTCCATCCCACCATCAACCTCAGCCTGGACCAGTCCACACAAGAGATCCACTTCCTGGACACTACGGTGCTAATAAGCGATGGTCACATAAACACCACCCTGTACCGGAAACCTACTGACTGCTATGCCTACCTACGTGCCTCCAGCTTTCATCCAGACCACACCACACGATCAATTGTCTACAGCTAAGCTCTTCGATACAACCGCATTTGCTCCAACCCCTCAGACAGAGACCAACACCTACAAGATCTCTATCAAGTATTCTTACAACTACAGTACCACCTGTGGAAGTGAAGAAACAGATTGACAGAGCCAGAAGAGTACCCAGAAGTCAGCTACTACAGGACAGGCCCAACAAAGGCAATAACAGAATGCCACTAGCCATCCCCTTCAGCCTCCAACTAAAACCTCTCCAACGCATCAAGGATCTACAACCTATCCTGAAGGACGACCCATCACTCTCACAGATCTTGGGAGACAGGCCAGTCCTTGCTTACAGACAGCCCCCCAACCTGAAGCAAATACTCACCAGCAACCACACAACACACAACAGAACCACTAACTCAGGAACCTATCCTTGCAACAAAGCCCGTTGCCAACTGTGTCTACATATCTATTCGGGGACACCATCATAGGGCCTAATCACATCAGCCACACTATCAGAAGCTCGTTCACCTGCACATCTACCAATGTGATATATGCCATCATGTGCCAGCAGTGCCCCTCTGCCATGTACATTGGTCAAACTGGACAGTCTCTACGTAAAAGAATAAATGGACACAAATCAGACGTCAAGAATTATAACATTCAAAAACCAGTCAGAGAACACTTCAATCTCTTTGGTCACTCGATTACAGACCTAAACGTTGCAATTCTTTAACAAAAAAACTTCAGAAACAGACTCCAACGAGAGACTGCTGAATTGGAATTAATTTGCAAACTGGATACAATTAACTCAAGCTTGAATAAAGACTGGGAGCAGATGGGTCATTACACAAAGTAAAACTCTTTCCCCATGTTTATTCCCCCTCCCCTCCGCCAGTGTTCCTCAGATGTTTTTGTCAACTGCTGGAAATGGCCCACCTTGATTATCACTACAAAAGGTTTTTCCCCAGCTCTCCTGCTGGTAATAGCTCACCTTACTTGACACTTTCGTTAGTGTGTAGGGTAACACCCATTGTTTCATGTTCTCTATGTATATAAATCTCCCCACTGTATTTTCCACTGAATGCATCCGATGAAGTGAGCTGTAGCACACAGAAGCTTATGCTCAAATTTGTTAATCTCTAAGGTGCCATAAGTACTCCTTTTCTTTTTGCGGATACAGACTAACACGGCTGCTACTCTGAAACCTAAATAAGGAAGTGTTATTTACTCCTTCTCATCACACAAGAACTAGGGGTCACCAAAGGATATTAATAGGCAGCAGGTTTAAAACAAACAAAAGAAAGGATTTCTTCACACAGTGCACTCTCAACCTATGGAACTCTCTTCCAGAAGATGTTGTAAAGGCCAAGACTACAAAATGGTTCAGAAAAAGAACTTGATAAATTCTGTTTGCCAGAAGCTGGGAATGGGTGATAGAGGAGGGATCACTTGATGATTACTAGTTCCGTTAATTCCCTCTGAAGCACCTGGAATTGGCCACTGTCGGAAGACAGGATATGGGGCTAGATGGACCTTTGATCTGCCCAGTATGGCCGTTCTTGTGTTCTTAATTTACGTCAGTTTATATCACACTAAAGAAAGCTTGACTGTCCAAATGTTGCTAGGATTTTTATTTTATTTTATTTTATTTTTTACATTCTTGCTCATGCTTCTGAACTTTCACTAAGCAGGCAAGCCTCTTAACTGACATTGGAATCCAAATTGCAGGGACTTATTTTTAACCTGTACACTAAATAACAGATACCTTTTGAGGAAAATAAGTCTTAAATCTCATTGTTGTGGATTCATCTCCAGCTAACCCCAAAATCTGCCTCTAGGATGTGATTAATAATTTGATGAAAGATAAGGAGTACTTTTGGCACCTTAACAGGTTTCAGAGTAACAGCCGTGTTAGTCTGTATTTGCAAAAAGAAAAGGAGTACTTGTGGCACCTTTAGAGACTAAGGTGCCCCAAGTTTCCACAGTATGCATCCGATGAAGTGAGCTGTAGCTCATGAAAGCTCATGCTCAAATAAATTGGTTAGTCTCTAAGGTGCCACAAGTACTCCTTTCCTTTTGGCACCTTAGAGACTAACCAATTTATTTGAGCATAAGCTTTTGTGAGCTTCAGCTCACTTCATTGGCTGCATACTGTGGAAAATACAGAAGATGTTTTTATACACACAAACCTTGATAAAATAGGTGTTTGTCACTACAGAAGGTGGGGGGGGGAGAGAAAACCTTTTTTGCGAATACAGACTAACACGGCTGTTACTCGGAAACCTCCATTGATTAGTATCCCCCCTTCCCAGCGTTAGTGCTGTGAATCCCTGTGCAGCTGTGTGGCCCTTCATAAAGGGATTGAGGGAAGGTGATTGTGTTGGAGTTGCCTGGACCCTTGTGCAAGCAGTAACGTTTCTGTGTGTTTCTCCAGCCCCATACGCCCCACACAACAGTGCCCCGCTCAGCCAGGCTACTGACGCGGCTCCCCTTGCCCCAGCCAGTCCCTCGGGGGTTGGTACCCCTAGCTGTCATTCCCGCTCGTGGGGTTTACTTCCTACCCAATCCCATTGCCGGAGTTCAGGTTGTCCCCGCCCCCTTCAAAGAGCCCTTTGCTCGGGCTCCCACTCCTCCTCCCACAGACATACACAAACGGCGCTTCTGTTTCCGTCTGTTCACGGCAAATCAGGACGGGAGGGTGCTCTCGGGTTCTCCCCCTCCCCGACTGCCAGCCAATCGGGGTACAGAGGCCGTTGGTGTGTCTTGAGGCTTGGAGGCTGTTCTCTGTGACGCAGTGGGGGCGGGGCGGTGCCATTGGTCCTGGTGGGCCCCGCCCCTCGGAGAGAGGGTACCTCACTGTTTACTCAAGCTCCTTCGCCAGCGGTCGCTGTAGCAGCGTCGAGTGGGTGGCGGGGCCGGCCGCGCGTCCCGCACCACCTAGCGGCTGAGCCCTGCGCCGGTAGGGGGCCAGGCGCGGATCGTGCGCGGGGCAGGCGCCGGACCACTCGGTCACTGGTGTGGGGCGCTGAGGAGGCGGAGAGCGGGGCCGGCGGCCATGAAGACGGAGATCTCCACTGCCGCGGGCTTCATCACCCGCCTGCTACGCACCCCCGGCGGCATCGGCGACGAGCAGCTGCGCTGCTTCAGCGAGTCACTGCAGGAGGCGCTGCGAGGTGTGGGCGGGCGGGCGGGGGCGGTGCCGGGGTCGGCCTGAGCCCTGCTATCGGGGGCAGGAAGGTTCAGGCCCCTTGAACTGGCCGTGCCCGCAGGTGTCGGAGATGCCCCAGGCGGGCAGCCCAGCACCCCGCACAGAGGAGCCCTCGCCCTCTGCTCCCTTGTCTCTGTCCCTCCGCCCCACGGCGTTATCGGTTCTCTCTTCCCGTGTTCGGGCCGACGGGTGGTTGGCGCTTGGGACATTCCCCCACCCCCTCCCCCGTCTGTGGCTAAATAACCCTCCATTGATTAAAAAGAAAAGGAGTACTTGTGGCACACAAGTACTCCTTTTCTTTTTGCGAATACAGACTAACACGGCTGTTACTCGGAAACCTCCATTGATTAGTATCCCCCCTTCCCAGCGTTAGTTTGTTGTGAATCCCTGAGCAGCTGTGTGGCCCTTCATAAAGGGATTGAGGGAAGGTGATTGTGTTGGAGTTGACTGGACCCTTGTGCAAGCAGTAACGTTTCTGTCTTTCTCTTTGTTCCCTCGCACAGACCATTATAAACACCACTGGTTTCCCCTGATGCCCTCCAAGGGCTCAGGGTACCGATGCATTAGGATCAACCACAAGATGGACCCCTTGATAGGGAAGGCAGCCGGCATGATCGGACTGAGCCATCAGAGACTCTTCCAGCTCTTACCCAGTGAATTGACTCTTTGGGTTGACCCCTTTGAGGTGTCCTATAGAATAGGAGAAGATGGGTCTATCTGTGTCCTTTATGAAAGCCCCCCACCGGGTCTGAAGACTGCCAAATCTCTGGAGAGTAGAAACAGCTGTAAAGAGGAATGGAGAATTGGCAGATCAAGCCCTTCCAAGAATTACAACATGATGACAGTTTCTAGTTAAAAATTAACATTCCTTGTACAATGATGTATGTATGTATCCCAGTTTCATAATGAAGTTAGATGATGTAATTGAGATGTTGATTTTCACCCCATAGCCATTAAAGTTGTAGTAGTACTGCCAAGTTCTTCGTTGTGGCCAAGGGCTAATGTATAAGCAGTTCTTTAAACTGCATGTAATTTTCTGGATTGTATACTGTAAATGAAATGTACAGTCAGCTGATTGTTCTACAGATATATATTTTGACAGAATCCTTGGCTATTTGTAATAAAAAGAAAAGTTACTTAATTCTCTCTTTACAATGGCTTTTAGTTAATAACTTTTTACAAGATTCCTGTACTTATTGAGTAACTTCTAGGAAAAAAACACAGCTCTAACCAACTGTAATTAAAAATCTCTCCAGTGACTTGCCTGTACAAACTTTTCTCAGGGTCATAAAAATACAGCTGGAAGGCACAAATGACAAATATAACTTTCCTACTAACATATTTCATGGTGAAGAAATCCTACCTTGCCCAAGCAGCTTTCAAAGAAGGAGTTACTTCCCTATAAACTTAAAGACTATCTTGAAGCAAACCAATATGGTAGAGACATGCTCAGACAAATCTGTTCATCCAACTTTCAGTACAATACATAAAAACTTTTAATGAACATAAGATAGTTTTCAGAAAAGTGTAAGGTTCTTTTGTTATGTCAGTTCACCTTGACTTGTTTTGCACTATAGCCATTTTTTCCTTCCAGAACTGCTCGTAACAAATTTTGAGCAAATAGGAAGGTAGAATACATCTGACTTAGTAAAGGGCTTATTTATGCTTCTGGGTGTTTGGCTGTTTAAATTGGAAAAGTGAGTTTTCAGTTAGTCATAAACATCTTTAGTACAGAGTAAGATAGTATATTCATCTTAAACCAGATGGAAATTTTACAGTTGAATGTAGTAATGTCTCATCTATATCCTATTTTACAAGAAATTACAAATTTACAGTACTAATATTTTAAAACTTTACATTTTATGCCATTTTAGTTGTTTTTTAAAGTTTTAAATATGATCTACAGTACTTTATCAATTACAGAGTTTGATGGAAGCAATGGTTTTAATAAAAAGTAGGCTAATAGCCTGCCAAATAGTCTGCTACGTGGGAGATTTTGGTATTAATGCTTCACCAAAAGATAGAGTGAAATTGTTTGATGTTGGGAGGAGTTTGTTTTTTAGTAGTCATAAGCTATACGTTTTAATAGAACCTTTGAGGACTGCATACAGCCAGTGTTCATGTTTTCAGTAGCCCTGTACTAGATCATAATTACGTGGTTAATGAAAGAGAGCTTTGTCTACTGTCAGCATGTCAGCAATAAGCCTTGCAAAATGTCTCATTAACATGGCAAAACATGCAGTTGATGGACAAGTCCAGGCAAGTTAGAAATAGTCCTTGTAACTCATCTGAAAATAATCCATTTTTGTTTTGGAAAAGCTGGTGAGCTTTGTAACTGCTGGTTACATCCTAATTAACTAGGTGACAGTGGTTTTGTGTAACAGGAGCTATTAATCTGAACTGAATGCATAATTGTTACATTCTTTAAAAAAAAAACCTTAAAAGTTAACATACAGTAAAATAACCGCTACGCTTCTAATATGTCACTCCTACCACACACACGTAACAATCAGTTCTAAACAGATGTTTAGTAGAAAGAGTAACTGAAAAAGAGAAAGTAGACTAAAGTTTCTAGAAGAAGAATATTTTTTGAAAGATGGTATAGATGCTGTATTTTTGTTTCCTGATTTAAAACTACAAAATATAGTTCCATGGTTTAAATTCTTAATTAGTCATGCCTAGTTTTCATTGAATGGAATTTTAGAATACTCTCTCTCTCTCTCTGTGTAGTTTGTGGATGCAAGTTGTGTTAGACCAAAACTGACCTTGTAATGTTTATATAGTTGAAATACATTTATGTCTATATAGGGTGAGACACTGCATAGTGAACTGTTTCAGCCTAAGGTGATGTAATATTACACATATAGTACATTATCTATCAGGAATGGTCTAATAATGCTAAGGACTGTAGTATGATTGTCTTGTATGGTAGCACTGTCTTTTGCATGGAACTGCATAGCAAAGAATTCCAAAGAAACAGAATCAGGGCAGGGGAAATAAAAGAACCAGTTTCAGTAACCTCTGGGTTCTTTCAGGGCAGTCTTGCAGAAGCTAGAAAATTATTATTTCAAGCTATGAATTACTGGTTTGTGCTGCTTTTGGAAGAACACTTCTTTGGGTGCTAGCTAGAGAGCAGCAGGTACATTAGCTTTTTAGGACACAGGGTGCTATGAAAACTGCAGAGACAGTTCCCTGGCTGTGGTTTGACATGTAGACAGAGTATTTAAAAGATGGAAATGGCAGGCTTCATCAAAATGTTTTTCTTGCATGTTGCCTTCTGTGAAATTCTAAAGTGGAAGGGTGGAGATATACCTGAATGAATCCAGTCATTACATGTTTTGTTTGCTTGATGAAACAAACCATCTTAGCAAGTGCTTATGGAAAAAATCTGCTTTGGTACCAGGCTATTTTAATTTTTTTAAGGAGCACACTTTGCCATTTGAATTCTAAGTGGAGTATGTTCATATAGCTGGTGTAACATGAAAAAGGTATTTTATACTTTTTAAATTGTAACTGATATGTTCACATAGTAATAGGAAAAACAAAGTTAGTACTGCATACATTTTCATAAAGATATATCTTGCATCAAGAATCACAACATCCTTTACAAATATAACACTGATACTTAACTGCTGAAATGCCATTATTCTTGAGTGCAATATGACAGTTGTTCAATTTCTATATCTATGCTACACATTGTAAGACTTCATCTTATTCTGCTGACTGGAAGGTGAAGTTAGGGAGCCAGGATGGACTTTGGCTAAGATATTTGGGTTTACACCTCATCTCCTTTGAAGAGCCGCAGCATTTTTTTTCAATGCCAATTGATGGCACTTCTCATAGCATAATGCTCTCGTCGCTATATTGGGGCATTGGTTCATTACTCATTCACTGGAAGTATGTATGCTAGACTTTCCCCCATCCACTAACATTACCTGCAGGTTGGGAGTCCCTAGGGTAGTCAGGGCACTGGCAGTACAGGGTGGATAAAAATAAATGATTTTTTTTTTTTTTTAGAAAATAAAATCGGGATTTTTTATTTAAATTGGCTTTTTTTGACAGGTGTTTTCCTCAAAAAGCATTTTATCTAAAGATAGATACATTATAGCTCAAAGATATCTCGTCATAGAATAGGGATTATAAATTCTAATTCTATAGCATGAGACAATATATTAATTTAATGTTTAAGAAAAGTTTTGGAAATGAGTTCCAATAGTTCATGGATTAGGGACCCAATCTTATGAGGTTCCAAGGGCTTCTGTATAGATTATTTAGGTTAATCTTTCTATTTACCCAATGGGACTCAGTGCTCAGTCTAGAAGATACCATCAGAGATGCTTAGTTTTGCAGTTCTCAAACTGGATTTGTGTCTCCAAAGATAACATGCTTGCTAACAGCAAAAATGTTTTTAAATAAATAATATATAGAGGTGAGAAATAACAGACCTCAACCGAGTTGTCCCTCTGGAAATTTCTGTACACAGAGTCATTCCCTTACCTCTCTCTAAAAGTGCAAAGTTTCAAAAAGTTCAATGAAAAGAAGATTGTTGAGAGCGGAATAGATCTGGACAAGGAAAAGAAGTCTGGAGATAAATGTGAGAAGGGAGGAACAGGCAGTAGAAACAAAATTGAAACTGTGTGAGCAGCATATTCCAGAAGTCTTCAGGTCTTTCTGAGTGTAGCCTTCATTGATTTGAGATCTACCATACCATTGTCTCACTAGAAGGGAAAACCTATAATGGCAGCAGGCCGTAAAAGAGACCTAGTTTAATTAAGTTCCTCTACCTGTGAGTAAGACAGGCATGTGTGTAAAATGCAAACAGTACATCAAAGAAATCCAAGGCCTGGTCGTCCGATTGAAACAACATCATGAGAAGTGTTCCTTCTCAGGAGGAAGCTGCATTGAAGATGATGAAAGGAACATGTGTGAACATGCAGGATCTTCAGGTTGGTAAACTTTTATTTCATACTTCTTTCTTAAGGACTGCCTGTCTTCCTTCTGGACTATTCTTGAATTCTCATGTTTGAGCAAAAAATACAGTTTTACTCTATGGTACTATCATTTTAGATGTAGTTCTGATAAAAAATAAATAGCTGAAATAGGCAGATCTTCCTTTTACAATTTCACCTTTAAAGTAGTACTGAGTGTCAGTGAATGCAGTGAGTAATACTAAATGAGCAATATGGTAGTAATAATTAAATAACTGCATTGACTTAGGAGGTGGGCCATTGATTATCATGCACATTGTAGGGAGAGTGGTCACCTTGGATGAGCTATTACCAGCAGGAGAGTGAGTTTGTGTGTGTATGGGGCTGGGGGGGTGAGAAAACCTGGATTTGTGCTGGAAATGGCCCACCTTGATTATCATGCACATTGTGAGGAGAGTGGTCACTTTGGATAAGCTATTACCAGCAGGAGAGTGAGTTTGTGTGTGTGGTTTTTGGAGGGGGGTGGGGGAGTGAGAAAACCTGGATTTGTGCTCGAAATGGCCCACCTTGATTATCATGCACATTTTAAAGAGAGTGATCACTTTGGATGGGCTATTACCAGCAGGAGAGTGAGTTTGTGTGTGGAGGGGCGGAGGGTGAGAAAACCTGGATTTGTGCTGGAAATGGCCCAACTTGATGATCACTTTAGATAAGCTATTACCAGCAGGAGAGTGGGGTGGGAGGAGGTATTGTTTCATGGTCTCTGTGTATATAATGTCTTCTGCAGTTTCCACAGTATGCATCCGATGAAGTGAGCTGTAGCTCACGAAAGCTCATGCTCAAATAAATTGGTTAGTCTCTAAGGTGCCACAAGTACTCCTTTTCTTTTTGCAAATACAGACTAACACGGCTATTACTCTGAAACCTGTCATTATGAAAGCTGGAGTTATCCAAAGGCTGTTCAGTGAGTTCTGTAAAATGAGGTAGTGGTCTTAATTTCTTATGGGACAAGTGCTTGTATCGCAAAAACATCATAATTGGCATTGGCACTTTTGTTAGCTGTTTAAGCAGAACAGTCAAAGTTTGAATGTGAGTGAACCATCCCTACACTCCCAAGAGCAGTTCCTCCAGACGAATATTGGTTCATGTTGATATGCTGGATAAGGGGAAGCTTGCACTGCTGCCAATCTGAGGATGAACAGAGAAATAAGGT